GGCCTTGGACTCTGTGGAATAGGAGTTGCTATCCGCCCCAGAAGTGGCTGCATTGCAGCAGGGCTTTGGAGTAGGTGAGCCTTCAGAAGGACAGCCTTTACAGACATGTAGGGTCCTGCTTCCTGCAAGCTTGTCAAGGCCAGTGCGTGCTACCGTTTGAAAGGACAGCAGCAGAATGAGGGGGCAGAGAGCGGAGATGAGCTGGTGAGACCCAGGGGAGGCACTGCAGGCTCTTTAGAGAGCAGCTGCTGAAGAGGAGAAGGCTCTCGCCCCAGTGGTGGTGAGTTCAGGTGGAGGCACACAGGAGGCCAGGTTAGAAGGGAGGGAGGAGAGAAAAAAGGTCTCTGAGTTTGGCTTGAGCAAAGTCCACTGAGGGATTTCTGAATAACATCGTGGAGGCCTAGAGCCAGAGGTGGATTAGAGGCACTGGTGATCGCTAGCTAGCTGATACTCCGTGTGTATAGAGAACTGTGGGTCTGTGGTGCTCGCAGCACTCTGCAAATGGGAGGTGGTGTCAGTGTCATCAGCACCCTTAGGCAGGTGGGGAAACTGAGGCATAGAGAGGGGGGATCTAACCCAGGAGTCCCGGCTCCCAGCCCTGTGCCCTGAGCACAGCTGACACCATTGTAAACGTGGCAAGGCCCACTGGGGTGCCTGGTGCTGTGGAAATGGGAGAGGATATAGTTATTCTAAAGCAACCCCCATCGTATAAGAACGGCCAGACTGGGTCAGATCAATGGTCCATCTAGCCCTGTAGCCTGTCCTCCAACTGTGTCCAGTGCCAGGTGCCCCAGAGGGAATGAACAGAACAGGGCAATCATCCAGTGATCCATCCCCCATGGTCTACTCCTAGCTTCTGTCAGTCAGGTGTCTCAGGTGATCATGGGGCTGCATCCCTGCCCAGCCTGGCTAATAGCCACTAATAGTCCTAGCCTCCAGGAACTTACCTAGTTCTTTATTGAATCCAGTTACACTTTTGGCCTTCACAACATCCCCTGGCAAAGAGTTCCACAGACTGACTGGGCGTTGTGTGAAGAAATACTGCTTCTGTTTATTTTAAACCTGCTGCCTGTTAATTTCATTGGGTGACCCTGTGACGAAGTGGGGGGTTTCAGACCCCTGGTTCTTGTTATGTGAAGGGATAAATAACACTTCTTTATTCCCCTTCTCCACACCAGTCAAGATTTTATAGACCTCTATCGTATCGCCCCTTAGTCGTCTCTTTCCCAAACTGAACAGTCCCAGTCTTATTAATCTCTCCTCATATGGAAGCTGTTCCATACCCCTACTCATTTTTGTTGTCCTTCTCTGAACCTTTTCCATTTCTAATGTATCTTTTTGGGGTTGGGGCAACCAGAACTACACGCCATATTCAAGGTGTAGGTGTACCATGGATTTATATAGAGGCATTATATTTACTGTCATATTATCCATCCCGTTCCTAACATTCTGTTACCTTGTTTGACTGCTGCTGCACATTGAGTGGATGTTTTCAGAGAACTATCCACAATGACTCCAAGATCTTTTTTGAGTGGTAACAGCTAATTTAGACCCCATCATTTTATATGTAGAGTTGGGATGATGTTTTCCAATGTGCATGACTTTGCATTTACCAACATTGAATTTCATCTGCCATTGTGTTGCCCAGTCACCCAGCTTTGTAAGGTCCCTTTGGAACTCTCGCAGTGCCTGGGACTGAACTCTCTCGAGTAACGTCATATCTCTCTCTGCACCCCAGATCTAGAGCAGCTGTACCTGGGCCTGTACTGCACCAATAACCACCTGCTCCTGCCCTCAGAGGGCAGCCATCTGCTCACCTGGAAGTGGCACCACAGCCTGCAGGAGCTCGATCTGGCAGGGCAGCGCTTCAGCGAGCAAGACCTGGAATGCGCCATGGCCGCCTTCGGGCAGGGCAGCAGCCGGGCAGCCCTGCGATCCCTCAACCTGACCGGGACCAAGGTCACCGTGAGCACTGTCAGGTGAGTGCCAGCAGAGGGGCTGCGGGCAGCCAGCTGGGAGCCCTCTGCTCTTCCAGGCTTGGCGCTCACCGGCCATGGCTGCGTTCCCCCCGGGACCTGAGCTGCAAAGCCTCCCTCTCGCCTGGAGAGCTGCTGTGTGTAACTGACTCTCTGCGTGGCTGGCTCGCAGCTCAGCTGCTACAGCCTCCTCTCCCCCGAAAACCAGCCTCTCCTGCTACGCCGGCCTCCGCACCCCCGGTCCCTTCACTGCCCCGCTCTCCTTCCGCACTGCGGCCCTGCTTGGCTCTTCCCCTGTCCCGCTGCACCGCCTCTTCCTGGCTGGGCCCTTCTGCTCAGCTCCCACATGGCCTCCCACCTTCTCTTGTGCCACCACTGGCATGTGGGCCGGCCCCTTGCCTCCTTCAGCCTCCCACCATGGCTCCGCTCTGCGCTGGGTCTGCCGCCCCATGTGCTAAATCTAGGGGGAAGCCCCAGGTAGCCGAGGGATGCAATTCGAGGCATTTCTGCTTCCCCACAGTGCCCTGATCATCAGCTGTCCTGCCCTGAGCTACCTCAACCTGTCGTCCTGCCGCTACCTGCCCCGGGGCATGAAGAAGGTGTATCGGGGCCAGGACGACATCCACCAGTGCTTGAGCAAGCTGCTGGCCAGCGCCGACGAGCCGGCCGCTGCACAGGATACGTCGGAATGACACCAGCACCTCCCCTCTCCAGAGACAGGCCTGAGGCCCAGGCCTGCGCCAGGAGCAACCCCACGCACAGGCTGAGTGCCAGGGCTGGTGTTTCGCTGGGACGTTCCTGGCAGCGTGGGTGGCACCTGGGACCTGGGCACCCACCTGGTGCTGTAGCAGCAAGCAGCCTGTTCCCCCGGGAGGAGCAGCCGTGCCTGGTCCCCCGCTCCCCAATTTGATAGCGCCCCCTTTTTGTATGACGTTCCTCTTGGATTTGTCAGTGTTTTACTGTCCGGCGCAGCGCCCAGTGCTCCAGAATAAAGGGCTTTTCCTGCAGGGAATTCGTGGGTCTGTCCCCAGGGCCTGGCGCTCACCGTGCAGGGAGGGACTTGCCCACTGCTGCAGCCTGGCAGGGAGTCAGAGCCCTGGGGAGGAGGAGTGGGGAGCTAGTGGATTCCAGCAACCACATGGCTTTTGTAACCCAGCTTCTCAGGGGAAGGGGTGTTTCTCCACCAGGGGCTTCGGGAGGCTTGGAGGACCCCAGGACACACACAACACTCCTCTGGCCCAGGCCTCTCCTGAGCTGAATTCCTAGGCTAGGTTGTGACCCTTGTCAGGGTTTCTGGGGTGAATCGCTACCACCGGCTCATAGCGGGAGGGAGCCCTGTGTACGCCCCCCCAGGGAAATTCCCCAGCCCCACTCCTTCTTTATACAGGCTAGCAATTTACACACCCGCCTCGTTATACCCGAGTGCCCAGTCCCCGTCTTCTGGACACCCGCAGTGCACCCAGATCCGCTGCCTCCATGGACACAGTGCCCCAGTTCACAGCTCTCACCCCAGTTCATCCCTCTCCTGAGCACCAGGCCCGAAGGTTTCTAGAACTGAAGTTTCTTTAACAGAGCTTCAGCCGAGATTCAAATGAAAGCCAGTAGAAGGGGTTGGAAATGTAAGGTTCCAGGCAAGCGAAAAACAAAAGACGCAATCAGAAGTCGACACTTGTTAGCAAGTCCCTGTCCTGTCATAGGGGATTTCTCGCCCCCGGCCAGTCCTTGCAGCTGGGGCCCACCGATCACCAGACACCTTCCCCCTCCCCAGACAAAGTCTGTCCTGTAATGGAGAACCACTTCTGCTGCTTATATAGGCACAGGCGCGTGGCTCTGAGCCCAGCGCCTCCTCTTCCAGGAGCTCGCCTGGGTTCTCTGGCCAGGCCAGCCTGTCTCCACGGCTGTCCCTTGTTCTCAGCGTGGCCTGTGACAGGTGTGAAAGGCAGGACCCTGCACATCGCATCCCTCGCAAGTTCTTTCCCGTCCAAACCTCTTGCCGTGACCACGGCAGCCAGCCAGGTCTGACCCCACTCGCCCCTTGCGTGAGGTATTGTATTGAGACGATGGCGGATACAGGGGTGGGGTTGCCAGGGAGCCGGTTTTCGACCCGAACATCTGGTTGAGAAGGGAAACTGGCAGCACAGCTGGCGGGATGTTAAAAGTCCAGTTACCTGCAGTAACCGGCCTCCGCCACCCGGGGGCGGGAAGAGCAGCTGCTGCTGGGGCCTGGAGCTGCGGGTCTGTTCGGCGGCTGCTGCTCTTC